TTACACAACCATTGTAACTCTACATCATGTATGACCAGAAGAATGAGAAATACTCCATTTATGTATGATGTGTTAAAATGCATTCTACTGCCATGAATAACTAATTAGAACAAATTAAAAAATTTAAAAGTCTTATCTGTTTTTAATTATTCTATAAGAATTGTGATATTTGGATTGAGAAAACTGAGATAATATTTAAGTTTTAGTCTCTTGTTGATCTAAAGAATGCTTCCTAGTTTTTATAGTTGAAGGAAGTGGTTAGTAATCAGCTATTAGCTTCTGCATTTCCTCTTATTTCTTATAATCTTATGTTGTTAAAAATAGGTGTTTGAATTAAATGTCAATCAAGGAAGTGAATGAATCTAAAAAATTATATAGACAGTACATATTGGGATCTCTGAGAAAAACAGTATAAATAAGTAAGGCTTGACTACTATGCTGCACAATAAAATCAGCAATTCCTCTTGGACTATACCCAAAAGACCTAAAAACAGCATACTACAGGGACACAGCCACATCGATGTTTATAGCAGCACAATTCACAATAGCTAGACTGTGGAATCAACCTAGATGCCCTTCAATGGATGAATGGATAAAAAATGTGGCATTTATACACAATGGAATATTACTCAGCACTAAGAAATAACAAGATCATGACATTTTCAGAGAAATGGATGACATTAGAGCAGATTATGCTAAGTAAAGTTAACCAATCCCTAAAAATCAAATGCTGAATGTCTTCTCTGATATAAGGGGGGTGACTCAAAATGGGTAGGGAGGAAGAGCATGAGGAGAAGATTATCACTAAATAGGGAAGAGAGGTGGGAGGGAAAGGGAGGGAGAAGGGGAATTGCATGGAAGATGGACGGAGACCCTTATCGTTTTACAGAATCATGTATGATGAGTGAGACAGAGTGTTGGTGCTGTGTTGAGTGTGAATTTTTTAAACCAGCATCACCATATTGTGTTGTGAGAGTGAACAATTTTTTTTATAGTTCCCCAGATCGATAAATGGAGAGAAAGTTTTCTTGAAAATGAATGACATTCAGATTTTCATACATGATATTCAAATGATTTAGTTAATGATATTTAGGACTTTTGATATGATATGAAAATTAATGGCATTTTAGATTGATTTCATGCTGCAATGGGTTTCTGAATTTTAGGGAATCATGTAAAAGTGTGAGTATATTTTACATGTTGAACAGAAATGAATCTTTGGGAGCCAGAGCACGGACATTGGTAGACTGAATGTTATCACAAAAATGTCCAGGTCTCAATTCTAGAAACTGTGAATATTTTAGAAAATAGTTAAAGAGGCTTTGGTGTGTACATATTTTAAGGGTATTGAGAGAGAGGATTTTCTGGGTTACCTGGGTAGGCCACATGTAACTGAAGCGTCCAATAGAAGGGAGGCAAGAACAACAGAGGCAAGAGGTTGGAGTGTTGTGGAGGTGAGACGCAAACCAAGCAACCCCAGCAGCCTCTCGAAGTCGACAAAGTCAAGGACTCCAGAAAGGATCAGCTCTGTCAGCACTTTGACTCTGACTGACTGAGACTCATGTTGGACTTCTGACCTACCCAGCTGTTTGATAATAAATCCATGTTGTTTCCAGCCACTAATTTTATTATAGATTTTTTTACAGAAACAATAAGAAATTAATATATATGATAAATGGAAGACAACACAAGTTTTATACTAGAAAAATAAAACAGAGTTTATCCAATGTGTACTGATTTGACAATAATATGTAGGATGGTTTGAATTGAGAAGAAATAGTAGATAGGCATTTAGGATGCCATTTAAAGTCAGAAAAGTGAGGTTATGCACTATTCATGTTTCTGTGTCAGACTGAAGTCTATTACCATTTTGTTCTCCAGGTTCATCTATGTCGTTGAAATTTCAGAATCTCCTCCTTTAGAGGTGAATATTACTTCATGATGCATATTTATGCATGGGTCTGTGTATACATAGGTAAATAGATGAAAACATATAACTGAAGCTACTAATACTGGAAAATCTGCTAAAAGAGTATATTTCAGGTTCTCTTACCTGCTCCAAATAAAAAAAAATAATGTACCTGAGAGGATGGCTATGCTAATTTGCCTGATTATAATTATCTCACTATGTCATTTTATGTCAAAATAACATGTTGTATATCTTGAACACAATTTAAAAATTATACTTAGAGGATACTAAATGCCTAGAGACAAAAAGAAATGAAATAAGAGAAAAATCATGTTGAAGTTAAAATTAATATGAAAAATCAACTGTTTGTAAGTTAAATATTTCTAGTATACATACATATATATGACCAGAGAAAATTATTGATATTTCCTCATGAAAATTATGGGACAAATGAACATGAACCACATGGACATGCTGTAACTTAGAAGAATCTGTGGGACTTAAGAGCAGTTGACTGATAAACTGCTTGTCATGATTCATATACTTATCAGACAATTTTGTGTGTGATATCTTCATGCAGAAGATTGCAATCATCTATTACAATTTATGTTTGTGTTTATGTTAGAAAAAGACCTTTTTTGCCTTTGACCAGAACAGATATGAAAGATTTAGATTGCTTCAATTTGACCTAAAAATAAAAGAAAAATAGCATAAAGATATTAAAAGGACAGCAATATCATCCTACAGGGAAATAGCCATGTTTTTCACCTCTGCTATATTAAATTTGGAAGAATTGTTCAAGGATACAAAAGGTGATGGTGGTATTTTGATCTATTGGAATATTTACTATAACTATTATACCCCAGGATAATGAGACACAAAACATCTCAATAACAATTACTGTAATTGTGACATCATGATCACTATCATAACATATAATTATTATTTTAAAAAGAGAAAACTAGGGTGGATTAAGGATAATCTCCAGAAGCTAAGAAAGAGTCAGAGAACAAAGTTTCCTTCAGGGCCCTATCTGATACTTAATTCCAGATTTGTAGTCTTGAGTACTTAAAAAAAAAAGTTTCAGTTGTTTACTCAGTGTATAACAGTTTGTTACAACAGTCCTAGCAACCAAATAAACTATGCAAGATTTGCATGTTTTTATTTTCACTGATCTTATTTAACCATACTAAATATCATAATTTACTCATAAGATAGGAATGATAGGGCTGGGGTGTAGCTCAGTGATAGAACATTTATCTCATATGCACAAAGCCCTGAGTTTAATGCCCAGTAACACAAAAAGAAAAGAAAATTGCAGAAATTTGCAAGATTTTAAATAAAGAACTAAATAAAAGCATCTGGTCAACATTGCCATAAACATGTCAGGAGTTCTTAAGGAGCTAATTGATGAATGATGATGACTTCTGTTTCTTCTGGAAATAAAAGAGAAATATTGAGGAAAAATAAAAATGTGTGTATTATAGAAATTGCTTTGTGTCCATCTGAAGATTAAGTTATTTGTTTGAAAATAAATTTATACATAACATTCTTATACAAAATATTCATAAACATAATTTTGAGACAATAATTGCAATATTTTAAAAACTGAATTTACTTGAAATGCTTGAAATTATTGTGTAATGTGGTACCTTAATCTGTTGATTTTTAAAAATAGTGTCTACAGATTTTTAGAGGAAAGAAAAGTTAACATTGCAATGTGGCATGAGGTGCTGCTATGGGCCAGGGGGATTCAATTAAGCCCCCTCCTCCTGAGAGCCGAGGTACAAGAATTTCATGGGTTGACATGTACAAAGACAACGTGGGCACCAGGAGTGGGGAGAAATTTCCAGAGTGAAAGTGAAAAGCTCATGTCAGATTTGAAGTGAAACAACCTCAATGCAAGCTGGGTCTCAGATATCACAGTGATAAAACCATGCCTCATGTCGGCTTAAATGAGAGGCTGACTGAGACAACATGACATGGGAAAGCAGAGGAATCCTTGTCTAATTGGTACTTAAAATCCACTGAAACAAAGGGAAATATAAAGAACAAACATTCAAATGATCATATGATTGTCATAAGCAGTACAATCTAAAATGAAAAACAGCCATTTTTTTGAGACAACATAGAAGGACAACATGGCAAAGTTGACTTTCAAAGATGAATTTCCTGAGGAAGTCACTTTAAAATCCTATGGCCTTAAAAGTTACGTTTTTCTAAGACAGATTCTGGTACAAATTTTTACTCATTATCCTGGGGTATAATAGTTATAGTAAATATTCCAATAGATCAAAATACCACCATCACCTTTTGTATCCTTGAACAATTCTTCCAAATTTAATATAGCAGAGGTGAAACATGGCTATTTTGTTAATGTGATATTTATGGATATTAATCAATGGATATGGTATGTATATATGGTTTATAAGGTTTTCCTATAAATATTTCATAAGAAGAAACAAGAAAAATTTTTTGAATCTACTGGATTGTTTCAGGTTCTGTGGGTGTGATCATGTACTATATATACAGGAGACTTCCTGAGACTAAAATCAAACACAATTGGACAATAAGAAGGCACACACACACTGGAAGAACAAAGGCAATGCAGGGGGTATGTTGAATAACACAAGCACAGCATGTTCATATCTGAAACTCAAACTTTAAAGTTCTGATTAGGTCGTTTCAGTAAGAAAAAATATGGTAAATAACAAATTATATATATGGAGGCATAGGGCAGGCTAAAATTGCGAACAAACTAGTGATTACAACTGCCATACAGTTATATTTTTTATATGGAGAGATTAAAAACATTTGTAATCACCGTTGGAAGATGATATTTTTATTTTTATGCTTAGAATTGAAATGAATTTAAAACAACAGCACAGAACAGAGGTAAAGTGATTGGGTTGCTTTTAATTAGTTTATTTGTCCATATCATTCTTAGTATTTCTTCTAATCTGTGCCTTAGTGATACTTGTAAGATAAAAGCTCACATGGAAAATGGCATAAAAAGGTCATGGGGGGATAAAAAATGGCAGTAAAATCCCACCAAAATGTTGATAGATGCACTAAGATGAAATAGATCCACTCAGAAAATATGGTGACAGTGTGAATAAATCACCCTTCTGTTACTTCTGTTCATAATAAAGATTTTCTGTTCTTTTCATGCAACTTTAACATCTTTATTCCTCAAGCTGTAGAATGAAGGAGGTTCAGCATGGGAAAATTACTAGCATAAAGGACATAATATCCATTTCCTTGATTCATAGAGCTAAACAATGATAGATGCAGATCCAAAAAGACCACATGCACCAGCATGTGAGAGCTGCAGAAGGTACAGGCTTTGGCCATGCCCTAGTGGGCCAAACAAAGAGGATGCTGGCAATAATGAAGATATTCAGCTAAGGATGGTTAGGATTTGGACAATGATGTTAAGTGAACCAAAACATAAAATTAGCCATTTGTTGACACAGGTATTAAATTGAGAGAGACTTAGGGAGAAATAATGAAGTACAGAAATAATGGTTGATGACATCAAACTTGAAAAAATTAACCCTAATCATACAGACTTTGAGCTAATAAACCACATATGTACTAAATACCCCTAAAATCAGGGAAAAGGAGTTCCAATGAGGTATGTTGAACATATCTCATATGTAAACAAGATATGTAAACAAGGGTCTAGAGATGGCAACAGAGCACTCATAGTTTTGTTCTATTTTTCTTTCATCAGTATGGGCTCAAAGTATTTTTATTATTTTCATTATATTAGGTGAAAATATCATGGAAATTATCTGGAAGACAGAAACAGTGATATAGAGAAATAGGGGATGTTTGATATGTAGAAAGGAATTCTTAAAAGGCTCTAGACCCACCATTAGTTATGTAGACCAAGTATCATTTCGAGTAACATCATAAGTCTGGGAACAAGCTCTCTAAGCTCAATAATTTTCTATTTGAGACCTGGGGTATCCAGTCAAATAATGAGCTTCAATTTATTTATTTATTTTTATTAGTTGCTCAAGACAATACAGTGATCTCGACATATCATACATTTGATTATTTTTTGTTGAAAAGGGGAATTATTGCTAGGTGCAGTGGTGCACATCTGTAATCCTAGCAGCTGTGGAAGCTGAGTCAGGAGGATCACAAGTAAAAAGCTAGCCTTAGCAATTTAGTAAGGCTCTAAGCAATGTAGCAAGATCCTATCTCTAAATTAACTATAAAAAGGGCTGGGGATATGGCTTAGTGGTTAAATGCACCTGGGTTCAATCACTAGTACCAAAAAAATAAGCATTTCTCTGAAGAATTACAGTAAATATTCAATGAAGTATCCATTTAAAATTATAGGTACAGTTTTTGATATTTAATAAAATTTCAATAGCATATGTTACCACTATGTCCACCACCATCATCATCACTACTCTACTATTATTAAAATATAAAGCCACATCCCTTTGAAGCCTCACGTATCTTTTGATCTTATCCTTTATATTTCTTCACATAGACTTACTACAATATATGTCTAAAGACAGAGTAATAGAGGGTAATTTTGGAGATATGTTACCTAAGAAATGTATGGAAAGCATGACTAATATTTCAAAGCTTGAAAACATAAACCCATTGAATTACAGGCTAGGCAAACTGAAGACCTATTTCTATATGATAATAACACATTGATTTTATTCACGAACATGCTCACCTATCCAGCATTTCTTCAGGGCTGATTTGACATCCTTATTCCTCAAGCTATAGATCAGGGGGTTCAGCACGGGCACAACAGTTGTATAAAACACAGAGGACACTTTTCCTTGGTCCATGGAGCTGACTGCTGACGGCTGCAGGTACATGAATGCAGCAGATCCAAAGAAGAGAGCAACAGCAGAGATGTGGGAGCTGCAAGTGCTGAAGGCTTTGGCTCTGCCCTCAGTGGAGCGAATGCGCAGGATGCTGGCTATGATGAAGATGTAGGAACCAAGGATGGTTAAGGCAGGAGTCAAAATGTTAAAGGCACTTAAGAAAAGAACCAATAACTCATTGATGTAGATGCTGGAACAGGATAGCTCCAACAGTGGAAAGAGATCACAGAAATAATGATTTATCACATTAGTCTTGCATAAGAAAAGTCTCAACATGAAGACTGTGTGAATTGTAGACCCAATGATACCCAAAATGTAAACTCCGGCTGTGAGCCAGAAGCAGAGGTGATGAGACATGATGACACTGTAGAGCAAGGGACTACAGATGGCAACATAGCGGTCATATGCCATTGCAGCCAACATGTGACACTCTGAGATGGCAAAAACAGAGAAGAAGTAGAGCTGAGTCATGCATTCAGGGTAGGAGATGATGTTCTTCTTCATCACAAAGTTCACCAGCATTTTGAGAGTTATGACAGTGGAATGACACATGTCAATGAAGGACAGATTGCTGAGAAAATAATACATGGGAGTATGCAGGTGAGAGCTGAGTGAAATTAGAGTGATCATGCCCAGGTTCCCCATGACTGTGAGCACATAGATTCCCAGGAAGAGAATAAAGAGGGGCAGCTGGAGCTCTGGTTTGTCTGTTAATCCAGCCAGGATGAACTCAGTCACTATGGAATGATTTCCATTCTCCATTATCCTGTTAAATTTTCAAAAAGAGAAAACTAGTGAACTTTCCTGATGATCTATGTGTGTGTGCATGTGTGTGAGTGTTGGGGGTATTCTATGGGTGTTATTATTTTAGCCATTACTAGAGGTAATGTAATGCAAGAATATCTTTTGCTTCTGTTTCTCTGAGTTATACAGTGCTTCTGCTGGATCAAAAGAGGAATTACTGACATGAAAGACTTTAAAATTAAAGTAGTTTGTAAGTTTTCGAAAGAGCACCATTTTTAAAAAATTTTTACATGTTTGAAGGAAGGTGGTTTTTGAGAACTCTGTTTTTCTGTTTTATATTCTATATACTCTATTAATGTCAGATGTATCAAATAGCACAAAGATCAAATTTCCATTTGACTTAGAATAAGGAAAAATAGCAAATGCTTTCTATGATTTTTCAATATACTTCTTAGAGTTATATATATATTATATATATTATATATATATTATATTATATATATATTATATATATATTACATATATATAAAACTACTTAGTTTTATTGGCTATTTTTCTTACTAGAATTCCAACTCAAAATAGCCCAAAACTGGATAACTATCCATACAATTGTTTCCATATAAAACCACTTCTCTGTGCTTCAATTTTCTTTACCCATTTCTACTACCCCACATAATTGCTTGGCAGGTAGTACTCTTTATATCAGTAGCTGTTCCAAGAGTGAGGATGCATCCCCTCCTTTTGTTTATTTCATGGATTGCTCCACTCTGGTCAGAGACGCCATAGGCTATAACTGGTCTACCTCAATTGCTCTTCATGGTTGAACTGGTGGAGGTAAGAAAACTACTCACTATTTCCCAAATATAAGAAGAGACTAGGAAGACAAATAGTAGTTGTATTCTAATTGGTCACTTTTTATAATCATGTATTTTGTATGTGTTGTCTGTAGAATATAAAGGTGGAGGTTATGTGAATTAGTGAGCATAAATTAATAATAATTGAAATTTTAGTCCAACTTCAATAATGGCCAATGGTGTTATATGTTTTTTCAAAAGGCACATATATCTTTAGTTTTCATTTGAGAAGAAGTCAAGTAGATATAGGAAAAAGATTCTTAACATTTCAGCAACAATTGAATTAGTGTTTTCAGTTTAGAGAACAACATTTTATATGGGATAAAGGAAAATGAGATAGTTTCTGAAAAGAAAAAAGAAATCTTGTCATTTGAAAGATGACTAACATAATTGGATTAATTAGCTAAAAAGTAAAAATACATGTGCAATGTGATGTATACATCCAAATATTCAACATATTGCTATATAAAAGAGGTGATGGACTAATTGTGTATGTTTTGAAAGGAGTGTGTTAAAGTTAATTGCTGGAAACTGTAAAATCAAATATATGGTTTCACAACCAAGATTATTCTAACAGTCAAACATACCTTGATTTATTTGAGGTCAGAAATGTTAGAACAGATCGTATAGTCATTTTGGAGATGTTGTTGAAGGACGTGGCAAGTGATGAATGGGAATATTAAATAATCTTTAAATATATTCCAATATTTCATGATTTTATAATTCTAATGTGTCCTGATATTAGGTAGACAGTATGACTTCAAATCTCATCTCAAGCCTGTATTTTCTGTGAGAACTTAGGAAAATTACTCCCACTCTCTATGCCTCTGAAAAAATATAAATACTCGCATCTACCTCACATGAAAATTGAAGTAAACAATTCCTAGTTCCCAAATCCCAATAATAATAATTTAATAAAAGAGAGTGTTATTTGTACTGTAAACCACTCAGTTTATCTCTGAAATGGCTTTCATCAGCCAACATTTTCATTTCTATAATGAGAGCTGGAGGATTTTTTTTTAATTTTTCTTCAGAAAAGTATTGCTCTTTCTTACATAAATACATATGATAATACAGGGATTTACTTTTTTTGCCGAATATTAAACTTACATTGTCAATATTTTCTATTGTTTTAATTAACATTCAAACTAATGTTTAAGTCATTCAGAGATTGGTACATCTGGCATTAAAAGTTTTCTTTTTTTATGTCCCAACAAACATTATAATGTGGCTATTCTAAAAAAGAATGTTTGTTAGTCTTTTAATTTTAGTTTATAATATTCCTTTAGTTTTTCTCTTTACAAATAAACTTTAGTGTATTACATCTTTTTTAATACTTAAGGTAGTTTAGTTAAAATCTATAATGGTAAAACCCCATTTATCAGACCAATTTCTATGTACTCCTGAATGTCCCTTATTTTTACATGTAGAATGTGCTTAATTATGATGAATTATTATGAGTCATTTACCAGCTTTCCTTTTGCACTAAATTGTAAATTGAATATAATGCTAGCACAGTGCCTTGCATGTAAAAAAAATCTTAATAAAAGTTTGATCAATAAGGTTTTGGAAAGAAACTTAGTAGAAAGTGAGCACAGGTTCAAAGTATGTGAACCAAGCTTTCCAACTTCCTAAGTAGAAATGAATAAACAAAGAACTGCTTGCCATGATTTTAGACTGCAGGGAGTTAATAAGGGAACCCGTGTTCACTACAAGGTATGGCTCTTATATTAAGGACAGGGAGAGACAGGTAAATAGCCATGTGAATCTCTATTAACACTATGGAGAGACTGCATCAGAAGAGTCTAAGATTTTAAAAAGTCAAGGTCTGGGATTCAGACATACCCCTCCTTCTTCTCAGAGAGTCCAATGTTGTTTATTTTTTTCTTTTCCACTTCTCTGGAGGAAAAGTAACTTTGATGATCTGAGAAGTATCCTTTGAGTCAACTAATTCTGATCTTTTCTGAATCTGATACCCAAAGCCACTTGGCTCTCTGCAAAATATAGCTTATGTGATGATTTTATATGGGGGGTATAGACAATAAGAATCTAATTAGGAACAAAAAATTATAATAACCTCCCACTGGAACCTCATCCCACAAGGGTCTACCCTTGGGGAAATCAACCAAAATTCTAAATTTTCTTTTTTCACATTAGTTCTCAAATGTTTAATATTGTCACATGGATGTGAATCCTAAACACAAATTTATGAGAGATATTGTTAGAGCTCTAGGGAATTTCATGCCATAACATTTAAAACTTAAAATTTTCAGAAAATATTTAAGAAATACATTAAAGGGATTGTATGAAGTGATTTTTTTTTACTAGAATAAAATAGAAAAATCAAAGAAAACCACAAATACTTGCAAGATTTGAATATTTGTTCCTGGACTGCCACTAACTGCAGTAGAGCATTATAATAAATTCATTACCAGTAATTCTTGAGTTCTTTTCATGTGTGGACTGAATGCTCTTAATCTGAAAAAAATATAATCTTAAAATATTTCAAATACTGTCAAGATTCATGAGGAGTTCTTAACAAGGAGATGATTTTTATTCCTTTTCAAAATGAAAAAAGAACAATGAAAATACGTGTGTTATGGTTTCGATGTGAAGGGTCCCCAAAAGCTCATGTGTGAGACAATGCATGAAAACCTAGAGGTGAAAAGATTGGGTTATGAGAGTCTTACCTAATCGATGTCTTCATCCACTGATAGGGATTAACTGGGTACTAACTACAGGGAGGTAGCATGTGGCTAGAGGAGGTGGGTCACTAGGGGCATGCCTTTGGAGCATATATTTTGTCCTTATAGTGCAGAAATCCCTCTCTCTTCCCAGCTGCTTTCCTCTGCCATACCTTTCTGCCCTAATGTTCTACTCACTTTAAGCTCCCAGGAATGGAGTCAATCTATGAACTAATATCTCTGAATCTATGAGTCCCCAAATAAGCTTTTCCTTCTCTAATTGTTCTTGTGAGGTCTTTTGGTCATAGCAGTGAAAAATCTAACTAAATAAAACAATTGGGCTGGGGCTATAGCTAAGGGTAGAGTGCCTGCCTTGCACGTGTGAGGTGATGGGTTCCTTAGCACCACATAAAAATAAATATATTGTGTCCATCTACAACTAAAAAAAATTAGAAAAAGTATATTACAGAAATTATGTTCATACTAACATATTTGATTCAAAGTAAAATCACATTTAACATTTTACTCACTATTAAATAAATAATATGTAGTTTTTGAAATAAAAATCAAAAGAAATTTTATTAAATTTACTGTAGAATACTCTAAATCATTGTTAGATATGGAGTTTTAACCTGGTTTTGAAAAGTATTTTTGCAAATTGCTAAAATTTATTCATTAAATTTCCAAGGTTAACAACTTAGAAAAATTGATAAACCCTATAATAAACATTGCTCATTGATAATGATAAAACTTTAGAATTAGAAATAGTATGTGGTGCAAAACAAAATCTTGGCAATTTGACAATTTTTAAAACTATGTTATCCACAAGCATCCATTAATAGTGAAGAATAACACATACGCATCATTATAATAAGTGTGATGAACCAGAGCTTTGCCTGATTATAACCTAGACAGGTGAGAAATGCATGAGAATTAAACACTTGTGTTAGTCATGGAATGACACGTAAATTTGGAAAGACAAGATGGAGTCAGGAAGCAACCTCAGGATAGGGAAGTTGTGAGAATAAGAAAGGTCATCGGAATGAACTCAGAGTTATTGAGATATTATAAGTACTACTCTACTCAGCACAACATACACCTTTCTAATAGTTATCAAATTATTATGTTATGTATGTATTATGCATTTTATTTTAATCACATTTACTCTCATAACTCTTCATAGATACACTGCTAAAACTCAAATATTAAATTCTAGATAAAACAAAATTAAGTTATTTACACTGTAATATACTTATCAAAAGTGCCAAAAAAGCCTTTAGTCATTCCTAACATTCATTTTCATGTTCCTCAACATTAAATGTCCTGAGTCTTAGCTCAACCTACAGCCATCTAGGTAGGCAAAACATTACTCATCCCCTGTTTCAGTTGGATTTGTCTGTGTGAGTAAGTCCTTATGAAAGGGTTATAGTTGGAGGTGAGGTCTATCATTTCTAATCAGTGTCCTTCAATTTGGGGACATTTC